TCTTCTCTCACTACTCTGAAGAGCCCCTATTCATAGGGTTGCTATGAGTCATACTTGAAGGCACCTAAAAACAAGGACAACAACAAATTTGTCCTTTGGTAAATAAATAACTTCTTTCACTCAGCTAATGTTTTTGAGTTTATTCATGTTGTTCCATGCACCAGGACTTTGTTTCCCTTTATGGCTGATTAATACCATGTCTCTGTTTAACTCTGAGTTCTCATACCAGGTTTTCTTTAAGCACCAATGACCTTGAGCCAGTATAAAGGAGATAGAGTCCAGAGTGAGGGTAATCTCTGTTGGAGTTTCTATCAGAAAGCAATTTCCATAGAAGGAATACATTGAATCTTAAGGATAATGAGGGGGAGAGATTTCTAGAGACCATTACTTGGCAACTCTAGGAAGCTGGCAGCAGTTCTACCTTATCTTGTGTATTAGTCAGATTTTGGTGCAGTAACAAACATCTCTAATCCCGGCTTATACTAGAAGACATTTACTTCTTTCTCACTCTTCAGTGGACTGGGTATAGTGGCTCTCCTCCTCTTGGCTCTGGGATGTGTTGAGATCTGCACTGTGCCTCGTTCAGAGACTCATGTTTAAGGATCAGTGACTTCTTAGCCAAGTTATGTGTCTCATGGTGAGCAGCGGAGTAAAAGAAACCAAGCTTATGTACATGTGTATGCCGTGTCCACACACATCCCACTGGCCAAAACAAGTTTATTAGCCAATCTGAATGGCCATGGGGTGGGGCATTAGCCTTTTCTCATGGACAGAAGCTAATAGATTGGGTGAGGACTCTGATGAGAGAGTTGTTTTAGTTCCCTTGGGAGCCACCCCCACTCCTACAAACACTCAGAAGCAAATTCACATGAGGATGCCTTTTTGAGGGACTTGAGGTACAAACCATTCTGAGCTTACGGCTCCCTCATTTCCCTTAGAGGAGAGCAGAGAGGCCAATTAGATATTACAGGTTCTAGTCGTCTTCTGCAATACCGACTTCAAAGGTCTGGGTGCATGCGATAGAAAATGAGGAGGTTCCAGGTGGCATTGTGTCTTATGAACTGTGCCAGCCTCGAGAGGAATGAGGCTCAAGGTCCTGCCTTTCAGGAAACACTGGGTTAGTGGGAAAGTCTATTCCCTAGAGGGAGCTCTGGTGTTCAAGTGGGTAAGGAATTGTGCTACCACCCTAATGGCAGGCAGTTCAAATTCACCAGCTTTACCCTGGGAGAAAGATGGGCAGTTTCCTTCTGTGTGATTTACAGTCTCTGAAAACTCACCAGAGGCCCAGCTGTTAGTTCTGACTTAACAACACGTAACAACAAGAGATTCCCAGGCTATGTGTTCTTGCCTGGAAAAAAAAACAAACAACACAACAACAACTCAGGGACTTGGAATAGGGCAGAGAGGGGCACGAAGCTGACTTCTCTCTCCCCAGGTTGCCCAGTACATCAAATTTGAGATGCCTGTCCTGAAGAGCTTCATCCAGAAACTTCAAGAGGAGGAAGATCGAGAAGTAAAGAAGCTCATGCGCAAGTAAGCGAGGGGTTGGTTGGGTTTCTCCTGGGGTCTCAGTGTTGGGGCATCTCTGCTCAGGGGCCTTGCAGAGCCTCTGCCTGCATGCTGTGTTGGGCTCAGGTCTCAGGGATCTTGGAGGAGGGGCCTTCCCGTAGGCAAACCTGCATCTCTGATGGAGTTGTGAGACCGAAATGTGTGGATCTCTTTGCTTTGCATGTCAGCTTATGGTTTGGGCACAAGGCATTCAGTTCTCTACTCCTCCGTGCAAGGATTCTGAGCTAAAATGGTGCTGGTTTAAAGCCCCTTTGAGCTTGTGATTCAGGAACAAGGGAGATGACTTTGTCCTGGGTTCCCACGTGTTTTCTCAGGCTCTGAGCAGGAAATGCTGGCTCAATGGAGGGTCCCCTGAGGAGCCTCTGGTGAGGACTGTTTACAGCAGGATCTGGGGTAACCTAACCTCAGGATTAGAGCAGCCCTGGGCTGCTTACAGCCAGGTGGGGTTACCACCCCTTTCCTGAAGGTGGGAGGGCCAGAAATGTAACCCACACCTTGAGCAACAAGGATTCAGGAAGACTGAGTCAGTGGTGGTACACAGCTGAGCTGCCCAGCTCCTAAATCCTTTCTTCACACCCTTTCTACCCTTTAAACATTTCCTTTCTTAAAAATTCTAGTAAAACTTCTCTCTGGAGAGGGTTTTATGATTTCACTGCCATGTTTAGTCTTAGAGCAATGTGTGTTTTTGAGCCATGGTAGAAAGAGTATTAGATTGTTTCTTTTTTTAAGTAGTGATTTTAGTGAAAGTTTACAGAAAAGTTGGATTTTCATTCATTGTTGCACATTTTCCTCCCTCCCCTCCATTCACTTTTTAAAAAAAATATTCATCCATTGTTGCACAATTTCCTCCCTCCCCCCCACCTCTCTCCCAGTCCACTTTGCAACACAGCTTTTATTCTGGACTATAGTCGTACAATTAATGCCTAATCATATATTCCTTTTAAACAGTTCTTTCCTTAATCCGTTGGATTGGTTAGATTTTTGACACTAGAGACTAAAGCCAGTACTTTATTGATGATGTATGGAATCTTTGGGTGTTGCAAGCAGTTAAAATGCTGTGCTGCTGAAATGGAAAGATTGGAAGTTTGAGCCCATTGAGAGGCACCTGTGAACAAAGGCCTGGTGATCTGCTGAAAGTCAACATAGAAAGCCCGTGGAGCACAGTTCCAAGCTGACACATCCAGGTGCACTACGAATCCTCACCAGCGCAACCACTGCTTTACTTAGGTTTTCACTGTATCCATGCTTTAACTAATAGGGTAGCAAAAACTCAGCCCGACCCCCACCACTGACTCAGTTCTAACTCATGGTGACCCTCTACCGATCTGAAGAGGCTATGCCTCTCAATAGGAGGAGACTATCGTCTTTCTCCTGTGGCTAGTGGATTTGAACCAGTGACCTTTTGGTTAGCAGGGCATCATGCTAAGCAATATGCCACCAGAAGGACTTAGTATGGTTGCAGCTAATAGTTACTGAACATTCACTTTAAAAAGAATTTGTTTGGGGTTTATATTTTTTTAGTACAAGTTCCCAAGCTTAACAGTAGCTCTGCACAGTAGCATCTGTTCCTCCAGACACCGTAGTTCATGGAAGAGGAGGAGACAGGAAAGTCACTCACATGCTTAGTTACTTCTATGAGCACAAGGGGATCCAGATGCTATAGGGACTGCTGTTTACATGAGAAGATGCTCTGAAACCCAAGGATCTTCTTTCCACTGAAATCAGTCTTCTCCAGCCCTCTCCAAGTTCCCATTGGAGTGGGTCGATCAGACAGCAGCCTCTTCTGCAGAACACACTTGACACTAGTTTGAATTGTATGCCGTTGCCATTTCTGTAGGCAACAGAAAAAGTCAGGTACAGTCCAACCTTAGAAACAGAACCATACCCAGTTGCTTATCGGTTAGCTCCACCTCACGTCCAGCCCGTGTGTGTCAGAGTCAAAACCGGGCACCACAGTGTTTTCAGTGGCTGATTCTTCGGAAGGAAGTTCCCAGGTATGTCTTCATAGTCACTGCTGGGTGCACTTAAATCTCATATGCTCTTGGTTAAACTGATGAAGCCGTTAACTATTTGCACCACCCAAAGGCTGTGGGATACTAGATCCTTCTGGCGCTACCTCGGGCCTTCTGGGACGTAGGAAGCACCCAGAACCCCATCCTTATTGTTAATGTTGTTGTTGGCATTTGACCTTCACAGGCTTCTTTTGCCAGATGTTCTTACCACAGTTACTTAGGGTTTGGTCTGTTTATTTCCTCTCATCCTGTTGTGGAAATGAACAGCTCTGACAAAGTGATTCAGAGTAGGCCTAAGACAGAAGTACAGCGATGGAGTCACTTGGGTCACAGGGGATCCAAAGGTGTGTTCTGCTGGCTGTGCCCATTGGCCACTGTTTCTTTGACCCCCAGGTACACTGTTCTGCGTCTCATGATTCGTCAGAGGCTGGAGGAGATAGCTGAGACCCCAGAAACTATTTGAGCCATGAGCACAAAAGCAGATCCAGATGCCACAGGGACTGCTGTTTCCATGAGAAGATGCCCCGGAACCCACGAGCCTTCTTTCCACTGACATCACACTTCTGCCCCCTTCAAGATCCCACCAGAGTGGATGGAGCAGCCAGTGGACAACTTGGATCCCTGCTCTCTGTCCTGTGATGTTTGTTCTAGGGAGGACCCAGTGTGGGGGGGTGTATATGTGTGTATCTCCATGGACTTGTCCCTACCTGATACTTTGCCAATGCTGTCACTTTTCCAGACAGCACAGAAGGCTGGCGGATGTGACGCTTGTGGGCGGGAAAGACTCTCCTGAGTCTTCTCATCTCAAGTGCCACATACTTCTGCCCGTGCTTAGAAGAGGTGGGGGACTCAGCACGCTTGGGTGGAGTCATGCACCGTTTGAGGGAGGTCAGGATTCTCTCTGTAGGTCTCAAAAACTTGAGCAGTGTGAGATCCTTGGGAACTAACAAATTAACCATTAGCCATATCCTCATAGGACAAGTTCAGTGAAAGAAAATGCTAAACCGTGGTGGGGTAGATGCAATAAGCCCATAATTTCTTACACTGGAAGATGTGTGCTTGTTAAGTAACATGTGATGTTCTGCGTGGATACTTAATGAAGAAGATTCTGCCCCATGGCCACCTCTGAGAGACAAGAGGGGACCTGGACATTTCTCTCTGCACGATAGGCCGCCCTCCTCCTTGTGCTGGTGCGTCCTCAAGTTGAAGAGCAGTTTCTGTGATGTCAAGGGCTCATGTGACTGATTGGGGCGATGGTGGCTGGGAGGTGGTGGCTGGCGGTTCCCCAGCTCCCTCCTCAGAGCTGAGAGGAAGTGTACAGGCTCAAGGCAGCAATGACAGATGCCAGTGAGCCGAGCTCATTTCACTTCATCGAGGGCCTGCTGCATTTGAGCCGGGGCTGCTTGGTGTCAAGATTATCTTCCCAACCTCTGGGTTCTGGCCAGTCACCCTCCCCTTGCGTGCGGAGGTGGACCTGGGGCATGAGGACACCTCCTGCTGCTGTCTAAATGTAGGACAGGAGGTTGCTCTGTGCTTCCCTGTGAAGATGTGGAGGGAGGGACGGAGGAGACAGCACTGGGATGATGGAGCAGGACAAAATCTGTCCCTTGTGGCCGAGATTGGAGAATGACACGCACCTGTGGGCCTGATGTTGCGGATATAATTTGAAGAAGGACGCAGAGAGACCCTAGGAGCTGAGGGCCTGGTTGTCATGGTGGAGCCAGCAGACCAGAAGCTCCAACCAGCAGAGGGCTGGAGCCTTGTGAGGGTGGGAGGCTCATCTCTTCCTCTGACGTTTTTGGGACATGGATGTTGAGAGGGTGAGGGAAAGAGAACTAGCTGGTGTTTAAAAGAAGGTGGGCCTTTGCTACAGAGCTATTCCTGCCTTGGGCCCTATCTCTCCTCCCCTGTGATGTCTCCATGGCCTCTTTGGAAGGCTCTTTGCTGATTGAAAACAGTGGCATGTTGCCACCTCTTATTTTACAAGGGCTTTCTCAGCTGGCCTACCTCCTCCTGGGGGATACACCACTGCCCCGTTGCGTGTGGAGTGGAAATTTAGAAGTGATTGGTCTCGATCACTTGCCTCAATGGGCCTGAAGCACAGAACTAGACAAGAAATAGAATAAATGGGGACAGTGTTCCTTATTACAGATGAGGAAGGCTCCCTTGTTACAGGTAGGAGAGGGAAGTTCTGTGAATGCAAAACCAGCTTCTGAGTTCTGCATTTCAAAAAAGTTGACTTAGAAAATTTCTCTCCCTATTATTTGTGTACGTAACTTGCCAAATCTTGGACCCAAGAATGTATCTTGAAGACAGGACGAGGGGAAGAGTTTGCACAAAGCAAATGCCTCATCTCTGACTTTTATTGGACGTCTGTTTCCGGTTGATGAGCGTTACATTTCATTTGCACTGTGATAATGTTAAACAGGGAACTGGGGTCAAATGTATATGCCACATCACTTTCCGAGAAAGTGTGACAGACAGTCACACAGAAAGTGGGCCTGCTTTTTAAAAATGGGGACCAGGGTGTGGAAGTGAGAGCAGACCACCTCTTACCCATGAGAGCAGACCACCTCTTACCCAGCACCTGCACCGGATTCAGGTGCTCCTTTCTGATTTGAGCCGGCCCTGGGTAGAGATCCTTTCTCATGTCCTCATTCTCTGATCAGGAGTTTTGACAATGGCGAATTAAACAGACCCTTCACTGCCAGTGGAGCCGGATTTTCTTTGGTTTCACATGGCCTCGAAGCTCTGAACACTGATCAATTTGTGTGGTTTTATGTAATTGGGTGCAGTGGGTCCAAAATTTTTGAGAAAAACAGAAGGTCACTTTAAAGGATTGTTTTCTCTGACTCTTGGAAACAGAGTGGCCTCCTCTGGCTTTTCCATACGGTTTGGTTACAAGGTTTGTGACCAAGTGAAGGAAAGGCCTAGTCTGCCTAGCTGGCTAGAGGTGGGCTTCGCTGGGTGGTAAGATGAAGCACAAGGTCACATTCCGGGTGATGGAGCTAGTGGGAGGGTCGTATGAGTTCACGGGGTGGGGTGGCGGGGAGAGGGTAGCTTGGTGAGGAATTAAAAAGCACAAATAGATGTGCCCTTGATGCTTGGACTAGACTTCTGTCCATAACAATTCCCAGGCTGGACAAACTTTTAAGTCTGGTTGAGAGGATCTCAGGAGATTAACTGTCCACCTGAATGAAATGTATGCAGATAGGAAGTTCTCATTTTGGTCCAGATTTACTGAGGCTTCAAGGGGGAATAATTTCACTCTCCCCCTTTTCCTACTGAAAAGAAATCAGTTCTCTCCTAGAAATCTTCAGATAATGATGTTTTCTCATCAGTCTAGATAAATCTTTGGCATGCAGTTATAAGAGTCTGATCTTTATGCAAGCATCTTGACAGGAAGTCTCTTCTGTGGAGGAGAGTGGCTATTGCATAATGTTGGAGGTGGGAAGGAGAAATGAAACTAACATGACAAGAAGCTTCTCTCTTGACAAGAGAGGCTCTCGCTTAAAAGGTAGACTAAAGAAATAACGTTTTACTTCAGAGATCTCTGTAGGACTGAGAACACCCTGTCAGTACACATATCTGAGGAATTTTATGAATGAAGGAAGGAATTCAGTGTCTCGTGGTACAAACCATGACTAAGTCTTCCTCGAGTCAGATGACATGAAACATCTCCTAGAGAAATAAAAATAAAAATGAATGTGGCATTTCCCTCTTGTAATAGAAAGTGTTGTCCACGTACAAGAGATGGAAAGCCCTCCACTTGCCCTTGGGCCCCCGAGCCTGCCAGCCAGGTTGCAGGCAGAAGCATTTCTGGGCTGATGGTTTCTGGGGGTAACGGCTAGTGTTTCTAAAGAGTTTCCCCAGTTCTTGTTTGTTTGTTTGTTTTTTTAGCTTTGTGAAACATTTTTTCTTAACCAGCACCTGCCTTTTCAGCTGTGGTACATAACCTGGTTCGATGTTTGGTTCTACACTCCTAAGATGCTTTTAGGCATCTTAACCTAATTTTGAAGACATCTCAGTAGGAAGCCATACATTTTTGTAATATTTTGATATGTTTTTAATGCACATGTCTTAGATATAATGGAAATAAAGCACTTTTCAAAAAGAGTTTTTTTGTGTGTCAATTCTTTGTGTGTGTCTGGGAAGCTGTGACTTGTTGAGAGGGTGATTATGAGGTTGGGACAGACATGAAGCACACCCAGGAAATCACTTGCCCCCTCCCCCACCCCAAAGGGGCTAGGGCTCAGCGGGCTCACACCCGCTGTCATGTTCCAGTAGGAATCAGGACAAGGAATCTCATGCCCTGAGTTCAAATCCTGTGGAGCTAGTGAACTGTAGTGGAAAGTTCTGGAAATTAACCGTCAGTGGGTTTATGTATCTGGGCCTATCTTACTACATCTTTTTCATCTGTAAAGTGTCCAGGCACCCTCCACAAATATGGGGATCTAGGTTTTCCTCTGTTGGAGGCTTCTGTTCACTGTCTCAGGTTTAAGGAAGCTTGAAGTTGTTTACGAGGTTCATTCTATGGAGTTTCAGTCCTTCGTTCTTAGTGCTGTCAAGTTGGAACCGACTCATAGCCGACCCTCCAGCGGGTTTTTAGCGTTCAGGAAGATATTACACATCTTTCTCCCCTACACTTGGTGGATCTGAACTGCCAGAGAGACGCTACCTTTGGGTTTGCTACCCCTTCCCTGTCCTGTGGAGGTGGGAAGCATATAGGGTGAGTTCACAACGCCCAAATGTGCTTGGTGGTTGTCTTCCCGGAATGTCTGGTCGTAGAGCGTGAGGCATGGCCAGCAGTTTGACTTTTAGAACTGAGCCACCAACACAATAAGCCCCCAAACAGCGCTCATTAATGAGGGGGAAAAGCCCCTCAATTTCCAAGCTGCAACTTTTTTGTTGTATATTAATTGTTGCTAAATGTCATTAAGTCAGGTCTAACTCACAGCGACCCCTGCGCACGACTAGGCCAGTCCATTTATCCAAACTCGCCGTGAACTGGGGGCCAATTTGATGACAGTGGAAAACAAATTTCACCCAAAGAATCCTGTTAGCTTTCTGCCGAAGGAGCAGGTGGTTCTTGGCTGGCTTTGTGGAGACACAGATTTTATGAAATCACTTGATCGTGTCTATTTTAGGTTATGAAGTTATTACTGAAGAGTTTGCAGTGAGCACAAGACTTGACTGAATTTTAAATATATTCTAGTGGGTTCTTGGCATACTCAGATACAAGTAAACACTACTGAATATTGGACTTTAGTAAAATAAAAATCAGTTATTTTTATCCTAAAACTATCCAGAATAAAGCTGTTCTTTTAATTTAAGGATGTATGTATGCATGTGTGTGTGTGTATAGTTTTAAAATTGGAGGCATTGAAATAAATTTAAAATTAAGAACACCCAGCTGATTACTAATCCTCCAGGCTGCCCCTGGTGGCTCTCTGCTCATGTGAT